ATGGATAGCCTTACTGATGGAACGCCTGTAGAATTGGTGGAAGCTTTCAAGGATCGGATAAAGGATGAGTTATAGATTAGTTACATAGAGGTCCTATACACCACCTCGCCTTTTTTATTATCCTACATCTTGCGCGTGTCAATTAGAATGGAGTGTTTCCATGCACAAATTTACGACATGGTAACTAGTTAAACTGTTGAGACCAACTTGCCGATAGCGGCAGGTGCGGGGTCTTTACAAACGCTTAGCCTCGAGATGTTATTGGTGCTGGGTATACTTCAATTGTCTCTGTGGTGTAGTGGTTATCACGCGTCCTTTACATCTGCTCGGTTACGAGTTTCATGTCTAAACGGACTAGGTCTTCGGTTCGATCCCGAACAGGGACATTCTTTTACTTTCATTGAGGAGGGTTCAATGTTACTGAAGAGGTGATGGTGCTCCGTCCCTTTTTGGTTCAAGGCCCCAGGACCGTAGACGGTTTCTAACTACATGGCAAAGACTGCATTCAATTCATCACGGGACTTTGATGCGTAGGATACATCTGTTGAAGAGGAACGCCTCAAGAAGAACATGAACATTGGAAGCCGAGCAAGTTCTTTGGTCCCGTGCCACATAGCCTCCGCTCCTCCTTCTCCTCATCATTTAGACCGTCTTCAGAGCGCCCTTCTGCACCCCAACCTTTGAAAGGTTCTGTACACATCCGCAATATTTTGTTCAACGCGTCTCGTCCTTCGGTCGGTTTCTCGAGGTCTCGATTCCCCGCATCCTTCGCCTCGTTCTGCAATTTCGAAATGAGTTCCTCTAAAACCCATTGACGTAAGACGAATCTCGGGTTGTACTGCTTCGCATAAGCTTCTCGTGCAGCTTCCCATCGCTGGCTGGAATCGGATGGTGTGCTGTCGTCCTCGGTGTCGATGGAGTCTTTCCAGGCGGCTCGCTCCTCTGGAAGGTTGATCCGAGCTGCATAGACTTGGAGGAATTCCAGCCAGTCTTTTGTAGCCGCTGGCAAATCTATGGTCCGCCCCTCGTCGGAAGGTAGTAAAGCTTGGAGGAATCCATCCAAAGGATCGGCGGAATCATTCCCTAGGGGCATATCCGGCGTCCGAGGTGCCATCCACGATGGTCGGAAAGTTGTAAGGCGACGGAATGTAGCGTGGAAGTCCATCGAGTACTTCTCCATGAGAGCGAGAACGGGCTGGATGAGCTCGGTGTGATCTTTGATTTGTGAAGTCTTCAAACCCAAACGCTGTAGATGAGGGACGGTTAGTGTGAACACACATTAGGCTACATGAGAAACCCACTTGACGCATTAGTCTCCAATATTCATCAGCGAAGGTTTCCATAATGAAAACTTCCAGGTCGTCTGAAAGAGCGTCATCTGCTTCAGCACTCCAGGTCTTGAGCTTCCCCTTTGGAACTTTCTCCGCCCAGCCTGGAGTAACCGCTTTCCCATGCTCCAGCTCATGTCCCAAGATTGGGCCCAAGGATCTAAGAAGCATCCGAAGTGCATATACTCTGAGTAGCGGACGTCAGCCAAACAAAGCTTGGTCAACTCAATCGGCGCTACTCACATCATTGTCGGCTGATACTTGTAAGCATATCGACCGCCCTGATCGGTATGGTTACAAATGTGGCCATCTTCGAATACATCCATGAAAGCGTATGGGCCATAATCAATCGTCAATCCCATGATGCTGATATTGTCGGTGTTCATCACGCCGTGCATGAAGCCTTGAGCCTGCCAACCCGCTACCATCAGTGCGTTCCTTAGGGCGCACTCCCACAGCAGCTGCTTTGCCCAAGGCTCTCCTTCTTTCACATCCAGCTTGAGGACCCGACGTGCTACCCATTCACCAAGGATTCGAAGCGCTTCATAATTTGGAGGTTGCTGTGCAAAGGCTCCACCGCTGGCACCAAGGAACATGTATGCCGCATCTGGTTGCTCAGAGTTCAAGGCTTGGAAGTTTCCGATTCTGATGAACGATTCGGCAACACGGCAAACGATCGCAGCCGTCTCGACTTCTTCGCGATAGACGCGTACCGTTGGCAACGAGATCAAGGATAGCGAGCGGGTTGTAGGGATTCGTAGAGCCTGCATAGCTGTTCAAAAGGTATTACGTTTAGCGTGGGCGATTGGTCAAATATAAAGTAGTAGGAGCAAAGATTGACCTTCCGCTACCAGATATTCGCGCACAGAGCTCCGCAGAACGGCCAACCCGTCTGCGCCTCGACTGAAAGGTGTTCTCCCTGCCCCTTTGAGCTGTAGCTCAAAGGTCGTGTCTTCGTCATCAGGTAAAGACGTTTCCACTAAACACTCCTAAGCATATTATTACCCATTGCATAGGTTGCAACGTAAATTTAGACTTACAGATTGAAATGGCTCGGCCATCACCCAGCTGACCAGCCCACGAGCCGAATTGATGCCCAGAGTAGCGTAGAGACCATGGTGCGTAGCCGCGAGAGTGGTCGGAGGCTGTCGGGATATTCATTAAGACGGAGTTCCCGGAGAGAATGTCGATAAGCTCGTCTCGAACGGCTTTTGCTGCTCCGGCGGACCCCTCCTCCGGTTCGGACCCCGCGGATTGCGTTCCAATAAGGCGTAGTGCGTCACCAACATCTAGTTGTGGGAAACAGTCTTTCAGGCAAGTTGGGGCGATCGAAAGGAGGTCCCTGGGGTGGTGTTCCCGTTCCAGCGAATGGTATTTCTTGAGTTCGGATTGAGACGCGCCTTCGACCGAGGGAGCGAGTGGAGCTTCAGATAGCGGTTCGAGAAGTGAGATGACCTTCTCCACGTAAGCAGCACGCTCCTCCTTCGTGATGTCGTCCGGTGGAGGTCGCATGCTGTAAGGAAATCCCAAGGGAAGAGGGGTCATGTAGAAAAAGTGGGCTGACTCTTGAGCTGCTCTTGACTTTCGAAGTATTGTTGGCTGGGTTTTACTCAACTCCACGAGTTCTGCGACATTGTTGGCGACTGGATCCGGCGTCAAGTTGTGAGTGAGGGTGTGTGTAGGTTTGGGGAGTGGTAGCCGAGAGATGGGAACTTTGGAAGACGCCATTCTACTGAGCTTGATGTACAGAGATATTGGTCGTGGAGGATGACAGAGCAGCATACAGCTAGTGGTTGAAAGCAATCCATTATTAAGAGGCGGTCAGGCGCGGTGATCCGGAGAACTCGTCACCGTTTGTCAGAATTCCCGCGGTTTCTGGGCCTTGCAATTCCACCCGGCTTTTCCGACTCTCACCCAAAGACAACTTTCTCTCCCGACCCCTTCTCTCCCCCGTTAAAACTCATCAGCTACCAAAAATGCTGAGCTCCTTCCGCGCTGTCGCCGCCCGAGCTGTCAGGCCAACTTCATCCGCTAATACTTCAATTCGTGCCCTGTCAGCGACAGCTCGCATCCGCTCTGCCGACCATCACGGCGACCACCATGCTCCAGTTATCAGCGTCGGCCCCGGTGCCAAGCCCGGTGAGGTCGCTACGGACGAGAACCAGTCCACCGGCTTGGAGCGATATCAAATCTTGGGTCAGCATAAGGGCGTGGACGTGTTCGACATGCAAGGCATTTTGGTCACCCGTCAAGGAACTTTGAAGGACCCAATCATCGTCCCTACTTTTGTAAGTCACCTACTCGGGCCTTGCCTCTCCATCCTTCTTCCTCTGCTGCGTCTTTACAGCTCCTCGACTTGCTTGATGCTTTTGCTGAGATTTCGTCGCTGACCCGGTTTTCTCCGTGATGTAGTCGAAATACAGGCAGATTGGTTGCACCGGATTCCCTGTCGACTCTCATGACACCATTTGGCTCGCTGCCTCTACTGAGCGCGAGAACACTCGGTGCCCAGAATGCGGCAACGGTATGTCTTTAGTTTTTCGTACGCCGGGTTCCCGTTGCTGACCGTGTATATTTGTCCATAGTCTACAAACTCCAGCAGGTGCAGATGGAAAGCGTGGAGGATGCCGGTCACTCTCATTAATTTTCAAGCGATGGACCTACTCTAGATATAATGGCTTTCACTCTGAGGTCGCTGGAAGCCAAGTTATAGTGTCGGCGCGTTTGCGAATTGTACCTCCCTACGACCGTCTTCAATTGTCAAACCCCTCCCCTCTCTACGTCTGTCTGCATCTATTGCACTTCCGGCTTGCTACTTGCGACTCGCATGTTGGGAAATAATCTGACGCTTATGCTGTAAATTAGCTCAGAACCTGCACGTGGGATGAGCGTTGTAATCTGGACGCGTCCGGTGTAAACATGGTCCGTTCCTCCACCACCATCGCATGCCGCCGTTCAGTAGCCATCCTCTCATCAATGGCTTCAAAGAGCGAATCGAGTCCATAACGAGCTACGGTACGTCCAGCGTACGTATGAGTTCAAGAAACTGCCTCATTTGACTGGAAAGCGGACAGGTTGTATCTGGGCACTTCGACAGGCAATCTTCACATTTATGCGTTAGCCAAGTCCAATGGTAGGGCAGCGCGGCATTCTGCTGCTGTATATTCGATCATTGACTAAGCTTGCGACGTCAGATGGTCAGCTTGAAGCTGCTTTTGAAGATTGCAAGAAAGGGCTTGGTCGGAGAGCGATCGAACAGCTTGGATACATCAAGGACGTCAACTCCCTCGTCCTCCTCACCGGTAAATAGCATCTCATTTAAGGCTACAAGGGTCTTAGTGTCTTACGTGTTCCTTCTTTCCTAATATAGATGGGGTAGTAACGTTATACCCGTCCCCAGCGTTCTCCCCGCCGACTCTCTTGACGCAAGCCAAAGGGGCCATGTCGTTTGGCATTGATACTTCAATTCAATATTCCAACGAGGGATCTGATCCTGCGCCTAACACTGGACCGGGAGTACCAAGTGTCATCACTCGCCTAGCAGTGGGATGTAAGAGGAAGATCGTCATTTACACCTGGAAAGACGGAGAGGCTCAGGAGGTCAAGGTCAGCCTCTGCCGACTTTTATGGATTCTAATACCAGTCCAACTTACAATGTGACTTTAGGAACTCAATCTTCCTCACAGCCCTCGCTCGGTCGTCTTCTCTACTTCCACCATCCTCGTGCTGTCGTACACCCATGCCGACCACGTCCTGCTCAAGCTTCCCATGATGTCCACGACAGAAATAGTCTTGCCAGCGCCTCCTCCCACGACTGGATCCACTGGGATCAGCTCTATGGGGATGGGTGCTTTCAGCGGTCTGGGCGGTTATATGACTCTCGGACTTGGTGCAAAGGCCAAACCTGCTGTGTACAAAGTGTCCGACGACGGCGAATTTGTTGTCCTCAAGGATGGTAGGGAACGTCTTTATGTTTTCCTGCACTGCTCGGCTCTGACAGCGACCTTCTACAGCGCTTAGCACGTTCTTTTCCCCTGAGGGTCACATCAGCCGTCCTG